TCTATAGCTTTTCTTCTTCCTTCCTAATTACAACCCTTAAATAGAATTCGTGCCTCATATCGAATTTACCGAGTATCATAATTCCTCCAGGTGGTAAAGATACCTCGAGACAAGTGCTGGGCATAGAAGCCACAGGGCATAAATCTGCAAAGAAGTAAAAAGCTAACCTTTGCAAACAATATGGCTTCTCTCTCACTTACCAACTTTACATTTCCCTGTATGGCCCCGGAAGATGACTGGTTAGCCAGAGATGGGTAAGATTCCTCAAGGGAGAAACAAGCTAAGACAGGCACAATTGCAGGGGGGCCATCAGGTGAGAAATTGGGGATCAATAGAGGTGAGGCTTAGAACCTCACCCCTACTGTTTTGAGAGAAATTTTCTGCATCCGTGGATGTTTTGTTGCCCTTGTCTAGCTTGGATTAATACTTAGCTTATAGGCACACACCTGATCATCTACATTTGCTTTCTTACAGCACTAAACTGTTTTCTACCTTTATCTTGCATCTACCTACCACTTCAGCATTTTATTTAAAAATTTAAATAATAATAATAAGGGAGAAATGTGGGATTCACATATAAATCAATTGTAAAAATCAAACGAATATTCATATTTGACCTGCTTGTTTATAGTTCATAATGCGTGATCAAAACCGAAAGTTTCTGTGATGACTGCCCTTGTACTGTTCACCATGTAAGAACTTATTCACTATGTAAGAATTTGTACACCATGCAGGAACTTGTTCGTTGTGCTTCAGAAGATCTGAGACTGATGAGAATTAGACTTGGGGTGGATTAATGATTGTGCATTGAGTCCCCTGTACAGAATTTTATTGTTATTAACTGTTAACAACCATTTGATTAATAAATATGAGAGATGCTCTCTCTCAAAAAAAAAAAAAGAACACGAAAAGACTCTGCCGGGGTCCCTCCCAGGAAATAGTCCATCCAAGAGAGGGCCCTGGAGCCTCAGCTCTATTAGCCTCATGGCAAATCTGTCTCTGTCTGGAAGAATGCTTCTGTTCTGCAAAGATGTATCAAACTAAAGAAAAAACTACTTTGCCAACAAACAGTAACCTCAGTCCAATCACTGCGGATGAAATACACCAAATGGTAAACCAATGCCTTGAAATAAATATAATATACCAAAGAACCAAGCATATTTACATTGCAACAACAGGGGTGTAAATAAATTTTTTGTTTGGCGTAAAACCCTACAATTCAAGTTATAGTACCTCATCTTATGCACAGAGCAGCTCACTGTGTGGAAGTTTCCCTGCAGATGTGAATATCCCATTAAATGATGTTATCAGAATGGAAAAAAAAAATCTCAACTACTACAGTTAAGACTGTTTCAGCTTTATGCCAAGAAACGGGATAAAAAATCCACTCCTTGTGGTGTTTCATATCTTAGAGTATTGTTGTCCAAAAAGAGAGTTTTGCTGAGTTTATGAGAGAAAAATTGGTGTGTGTGTGTGTGTGTGTGTGAATGGTTCTCTTTTCAGATTTGTTAAAGAATAATTATTAGATTTCAAAGGTGACTTATCTAAAATTTTCTAATACCTGAGTGAACTAAATATAAAATTGTCAATGTATGCTAACAAAGTGAATGGGTTCCAAGCAAATATTCAACTTTGAAACAGTGCGGTTAAAATTATCAAGGAGTGAAATCTAGGCATTATTATAATTTGAATACTAAGAAAGAATGATTAAGGCTAGTAGGGCAGCATCTATAAATGTTAGAGAAAATACATTATTTAAAAAATACTTGATATAGTTCAACTGCATTCAAAATCCATTCACAGTATAAGAAAGTTCAACATTACATGTATAAATAAAAAAATGTTTGGAAAGTGCTCAAATTTTCTGAGATTAGGTTAATGATAAAAAGGAGTTTCTCAGAGAAAAAGCAATGAGTTATCTGCCTTTTGTTAATATCTGACTGTGTGAACAAAGTTTCTTGGAAATGGTGACTATCATGAATTAAAAGGGATCACCATTAATGAGGATCAGGAGTTTCAGGGAGTGCTTTCAAACATAAACCCCCCGTTTATAAAGTTATCTTTATAGGAGCAAACTCAAGACTCTTATTGAAATACCTAGAATAGAGATTTTACTTGGAAATTATATGTAAATTCTTATTCATATCATTCCTATTGCTTTATTTGGTATCGTTCTTAGGACTATATATTGCAAAAAATCCCACAAAGCTCTATATAAATGACCCCATAAAATCCTCTCCAGTTTACCCCAGTGAATGGTACAAATTTATCACTTGGTATGTGGGCCTTAAAGGAATAAATGTGAAGCTTTTCTTGGTGATGTGCCCTCAGTTTCTCTGCATTCTGAGGACCCTGAGTCTCTTTCCTCATCTGTAAAATAAGGAAAATCGTTTGACTTCCCTCATTCTGTAGCTTTGAAGATGAAATGAATTAATACCCAAAAAGCACTTAAAACAGACCCTGGCACATATTAGCAAGAAATATGAGAATACAGGCCATGCTTTAATCTTTTCTAAAACCCTGCTACCTGAGATTTTGCCTGAAACTTCTGGGAGTTTGTGCAATGAAAACTATAGGTAAACCTAATGATCTTTCAAAACACACACTGAGGATTATGTTCACTCTGTGTGGATGGCCAAGTGTGTAGCTACTCATGTCATGCTCTTTCCACCTAGCATACTACTTAGCAGATAGCAATTGACAGATAAACATTTATCTTATAAAGGAAGAAAAAAAATAAAAAGAGGGATTTTTTTTAATCTAAGAAAAAATACTGGGCCATAGACAACATCTGCTATATACTTTGGAAGCCTAGTACATGGAATTGAACTGAGGGTTCTGTTGTTTGATTCCTCGCTGGACCGTTGTGCCTCAATAGATGGGTAAGGATAATCGATTATTAAAATCTGTGTTTGCTTCCTTCAGCCAAAGAAGTTCACCATCACAAGCAGCACCACTGGGAAAAAGCATGCATTTGTCACTGAATCGGCCAACACCTGTGAATATTTACTGCGCCTCTGCTCTGCCCAGCATGGGTTTAATGCTCAGGTGCGCTCTCCCCGAGCTGTAACTGGTGAGTAGGCACTAGATTCTCCACCGCCACTCTGGCAAGTTTGTTACATCATAAAATAATTTGTATAAATATGTACAATTGACCCAGAATCCTCTAAAAAGTTGAAAATCTTCCTAAGAGCTAGAGAAATACAATAAAAAACTGTACTTTTTTTCTTAGTCTGGTAAACACAAAAATAAATAGCATTTGCGAGGGTAAATTGATACATCTTTCTAGAGCTCAATTGGGAATATGTATAAAAAGCCTTAAAAAACTCCCTGTCATTTGGCTCTATGTTATTACTTATAAATATTTATCTAAAGGTAATAAGTATAGAAATACATGAAAGCTTATGCTCATGGGTGTTCACTAGAACATTACATATAACAGCAACCATTTGGAAGTAATCTAAGAAAACCAAAAGCAGAAGACTAGTCAAATAAATCACAGCACTTCTCTGTAACTTAAGACAGTAGAATGTGTTTTGAGGGAATGATGATGTGAACATGTACATGAGATATGGTGCTAAGTGAAGAAAAGCAGGATATGAAACCATATCTATTACTAACAGATGGGACTTTCTGAGATTATGGAAATACTTACTCTGTTCGGTACGGGGTCACTACCAATATGTGTCTATCGACCACTTGCGAGGTGGCAAGTACAGCTATGGAGCTAGGTTTTTAATTTTTAAAATTGTAATTAACTTATATTTAAATGTAAATAGCTATCTGTTCCTCCAGTATTGAATGCGCAGGTATAGTATTGGACACCATGATAATAATTTGGTGATCTTTAGCATGCAAACGAGAGAGAAGGAATATGCAAATGAACTGCACCAAAATGCCATTGTGCTCTTGTTGTTATCTTTGTGTAATAAACAAAAATTTGTTTTCTGTTCCATATATTTTTCAGTATTTATCAAATTTCAACAATAAACATATAGTATTGATATAATTGGGAGGGGGACCATTAGTTAAAATGAGGCCACATGCCATATAAGACATTAATATTTATTGAGTATTTAGGAAATGCTATGGATCTACTTACTATTGTTACTAGTGTTTTTCCCAGGCACTATGCTGTCCTTGCATGAATGATCTAATTTATGCTCATAATATGCTGGTTTCTCAATCTGCAATTGTCAGGCAGCCCAGCGAAACAGGTGCCAGCATTATTGGAGGAGCAAACTGAGGCTTGGAGTAACATGCCTCCTGGTTGGCGATGGGGCTGAGATTTGAACTTGCAGTTCTTTGAGCCTGGTGCCTGCACCCTTTACTCCTGCAATATGATATGACCTTTCATCCCCTGCCAGAACTGGGTCTTTAGGGTAAGGGAGACTTGGCTCTGAGTGCCAGACTTACCATGCTTGCTATTGATCTCTGAGCATTATTTCTTCATTGGTTCTAACAGGGAACCATATAGGGGCTTCACCGTTCATATTCATAGAGTGATCTCTGCATGTACATCACTTGGGAGCTTGCTAGGGATGCAGAATCCCAGGCCCCACACAGACCTACTGAATCAGGGTCTGCATTTGAAAAATAACCCAGGTGACTTGGATGCACATAGATGTTTGAAAACCTCTGGCTTGGAATGTGGGCCTGGAGTCCAGTAGTCTCAGGGCAGGGCCACTTATTAGCTGTATGACTTTGGCACCTCACTTGCCCTCTCGGAGCCTTTTTTTAGATTCTCAGTGGAACACACTGGACATCTGCAAGGTTTCTGCTGTACTCTGGAGGGATAGTATGTATGATGTGTCTAAATCCATGTCTGGTATTTATTGCTCCATGTGAGTAGTAGTGGCAGCTCCTGCCTGTGGGAGTTTTGTTCAGTGCCAGCCAGTTCATGTGGAGCTGTGTCACTGGGTCCTGGGGTCCTAGGGTAGGGAATTAATCAGGAAACAAAATCACTGAGCATTTGGATGGAGATTCAAACACAAAAACATAGATGGCACATTCTTTGCAGCAAAGCTAAATAAATACATTTCACTGAAATCATTGAGTGACAATTCCAGATGTTTCCAGGAAGTTGAAATAATGAACGTAAATTTAATTTTATCTTATCTGCTATTGTTGAGATACAGTGTGAAATACTATCAGTATTGCTTTTATTGCTTGATACCAGTAACATAAAATTTTACAGAGATTCCACAGGCTCACTTGTGTAATTATTCCTTTTAAGCCTATTTTCTCATAATATATTGTTTTCTCAACCTGCAAATTCTACCATCATAGGAGTTCTCAGGAATCTACTATTTGCATTAAAAGGATTATTTCAGATAATTTTTTTTCTGGGTTGATGTTTATTTTATTTTTCCAGACATATTGAAATATTATCGACATAAAAATATTTTAGTTTAACATGTACAATGTGATGATTTTATACTCATGCATATTGCAAAATTATTACCAAAATAAGGTAGTTAACACCTCCATCCACTCACAAAATTACCATTTTTTTGTGGTAATAATATTTAAGAGTTATTTTCTTACCAACTTTGAAGGAAATAACATAGTATCATTAACATAGTTACCATGCTATAGGTTAGATCCCCAGAACTTGTCCTTCTTATAGCTGGGAGTCTGTACTTTTTGACAAGTACCTCCCCATTTCCCCCATCCCTAGCCCTTGGCAACCACTGTATTCTCTATTTCTATGAGTTCAGCTTTTTTTAGATTCTGCATGTAAGTGAGATATACAATATTTGTCTTCCTTTGTCTGACTTAGTTCACTCACCATAATGCCCTCAAGGTCTGTCCATATTGTCTCAAGTTGCAGGATTTCCTCCTTTTCATGGCTGAATAATATTCCAGTATATATGTAGATATGTATACATCTATCTGTGTGTGTATGTGTGTATATGTAATTCTATATGCTAATTCTATTTTTAATTTTTTGAGGAACCTCCAAGCTGTTTTTCATAGTGGCTGCACTAACTGACATTCCCACCAAGAGTGTACAAGGGTTCCCTTTCCTCCATATCCTCACCAATATTTATTTCTTGTCTTTTTGATGATAGCCATTCTAACAAGCCTGAGGTGGTATCTAATTGTGGTTTTCATTTGTACATCCCCAATGATTACTGATGTTGAACACCTTTTCATGTACTTGATGGCCACCTGTATGTCTTCTTTGGAAAATTCAGACAATTCTTTTTTTGCCTTTAAAAATATTTCTTCAGGAGTTGGGAGCCAAGATGGCAGCGTGAGTAGAGCAGTGGAAATCTCCTCCCAAAACCACATATATCTATGAAAATATAACAAAGACAACTCTTCCTAGAATAAAGACCAAAGGACACAGGACAACATCCAGACCACATCCACACCTGCAAGAACACAGCACCTCACAAAGGTGGTAAGATACAAGCCCCGGCCCGGTGGGACCTGAGCGCCCCTACCCCCAGCTCCCGGCAGGAGGAGAGGAGTTGGAGCAGGGAGGGAGAGGGAGCCCAGGACTGCTAAACACCCAGCAACAGCCATCCGGACCAGAATGCAGACACAGTGCATGCGTGGGGTCCTGGATACTAGGGAAACAGGGCAGCAAGACC